GAATGATTATATACATCAAATTAATATATTATTTAATACAAATAATTATAAATACTCTTCTAAAATAGTTTGGTTTTCAAACCAAATATCACAATATGGACAAACTTCTTTAACTGCAACTATTGAATTATTGTGTCTTATTTATGAATTCCTAACTGGTAAACCATCATAAAAATGATTATCTGTAACAATTTTAAGCACTTGACATCAAGAAGTTTCATAAATTGAAACTAAAGTTACAGTAAATCTAGTTATTTAATATTTACAATTTGGAATTCTTATAGATAAATCAACTCATATTAAAAATAAAAACCTTGTAATATGCATTATGTTCTAGAATAGTAAAAAAAAATACTATTAGTTACTATGACCAATCTTAAAAACTTATATAGACGTACTGATCAATTAGTAGCAGATAGTATTATTAATACAATTACAAATCATAGGCTTGATCTAGAAAAAATGCTTAATGTAAATTACAGATAATACAACATATATGTCTAATAATTAAAAGAGTATAATTGTTTAATTTAACAGAAAGGTTAATGTAAATGCAATATGGATTAGTTATAAAATGCATATCATGCATATAGTTTTTTCAAATTTTGAAGATGAGGCTTTGAAAAACTACCTACTTCAATTGAGTTTTTGAAAAAACCACAGCTATTTAATTTGCTATATTTAACTTAGTATCTTCACAATAAATATAATTTAAGTAATAAAAGAAAACCTTTTAATATGAAATCTGATTGGATTCAAAAACTTTATAATAGATTATTAGGATCATTTTTCTTAATATTAACTGCTAATTTGAGATTGTTGAAGATATGAATTACATTCTGCAAAACAATACTTAAAACAATATAAAACACATATAAAATTATAGAATAGGTTATTCAGATACATAAAAATAATCAGAATACACCAGTATTATAGTTATCAAATTGGCTCTTATTTAGAAATTGACTTTTAAATGAAAAACTAAACATCCAAGTTTAATATTTAATCACATTTGATGAGCATTTATATAAACCATTAATGCAATTCATAACTGAAAAAGATTTTATACCTCATATTCAATTAGATAATAATTTTACTTAACTTCCACCTAACTGATATGCTCATAAAATGCCTGCTAATATAAATGAGTAGATTGGGTTTTTACTTGAATTTAAGGAAAATTTTAACATTTTTTTTAAACAAGAGCTGTTAACAACTCTCAAATATCTAAATAATGAAGATTTTTGTGAGCTTTTTGATAATCTAAAACAAAGAATAAATAAGACATATGATTTTTTTCTAAAATAGATGTCTTCTTAAATACATTTGCCACTATCAATATGTTGATTGGGTGAAGATTCTTGTCATGAATTTGCATGAACATTTTATTATATTACTTTGCAAATTCTGTAGCTTTTGACACCAACTAAATGTGAAAAAAAATTTGCAAATCAATTGCAAAATAATTTCAAAATGTCTAATGATACATTTAGTCTTCGAGAAGAGTTACTAAACAATCAAGAATTTAAAAAAGAGTATTGAGAATTCTGCTTGGCTTCTAATTCTAATATTTATGAATTTCTGTTACTATATGAATTTGTTAAAGAATGAATTTATTTAATTATAATCCACCAACAGCAAGTGGAAACAAATTAGATTTGAAAACTCATCCGAATATGACATCTAATATGAAACAAGCAAAACTAAGGCTTTCATCTGGAGACATAGATAAAGAAAATATTAATTCCAAACTCAAAAGTTCGTATAAAACGCCAAAAGCAAGCGCATAATAATTTAAAGGAAAGTAACCTGGTGATATTTGGGAAAGAAGAAGCGACTAAGATATTTTTTGGTTTATGTCAAAATTAGTAGCAATTATTTGCTCGTTATTTTCAATTCGGTGGATTTGTGGAATCTGACTTTTATAAAGTCCTCCAAATTTAACTGGGTCTATTTTTTATATTGAATTTAAAGTATATCGATATATTGCGAAGAAGTTCTTAAGTTTTCAATAAAATAAAGGTCCAATTTTTAAATATTATTTAGAGTATTTAGATAAAGGTCAAATTCCGCAAATCAGCCGAATTTTGGTTATTAATTAATAAAAAGCCTTTTGGATATAAAACTACTACACTGTGAAATACTGTTAAAGTAGCTTTAGAAGCTATAACGATAACGATAAAAAATAGGTATTATCGTAGTCATAGTAACTGATCATCAATTTCATCATGGTTTCACAAAAATCGGTTCTAATTAATTTTAATATTAGACTATGCATAAATTTGATCTTCATAGTCCCCAATGTAACGTCCATATGCACATCTGATCGGTCTATTCCCATTCAAATTTCCCAATATAGTAATACCTATGAAAAAAAAATTTTCCATGGTATGTATATTTTATGATGTATGTAATAATATACACTATTATGATTGCCAAGGAAATCAATTAACAGGAAAATTGAATTCCGTACCGCCAAATTTCTGTAACCTAGTAAATTATATACTTTTATTGTTGTCCAATTTTATATAGATTATGTCGACATGAGCAACGCCAAAGGAAAATTAGGCTTTAGGTTTTCAAAATTATGATTTATTATTACCGAATTCAGCCCTTACACACTATATATGTTCCTGATCAGGGCTGAGTTTTGTAAAAGCCGAAGTCTAGATTTTTTTTTTTTTGCGTCATTCATCTATAATTAATGTAAAGCAATAAAAATTTGAAGATGTTCAATGCAGACACAAAATTTCTGCGTGTCGTATCCTGTTTTTTTCGGGTAAATGGCTTAGAAATTCCTGTAATATAAAAATTCTCGCCGTTGCAGAAAATCGGGTATAATATAAAGTTTGATTGTTTTATAATTAATTACATAATGTATTCGTAATAATGACATAATTACGCCGTGCACCATAGCCTCCAAATCTAGATAATTAATAAACTTATATTCGCAATAAAAATACGTATATAAAAGATACTCGCGTGACGCGTTAAACACAATGAGAAGGCGTTTTCAATACAGTCAACCCTTCATAAAGTTTGATTGTTTTATAATTAATTACATAATGTATATAATGTACATAATGTACATACTGTATTCGTAATAATGACATAATTACGCCCCACTATAAACTCCGAACCTAGATAAGTAATAAACTTATATTCGCAATAAAATATGTATATAAAAGATACCCGCGTAGCGCGTTAAACAACAACGAGGGCATCTTAGATATTGATGAAGTGCATTCAATTTCGCAATAATGTATCGTAGTTAGAATACTCGTTATAAATGGATTTTCCATAAGTGCTCACCTCTGTAGATACATTTTCCACCGACGGGTGCAATTACGGAGGGTCGACCGTAATTATTTCATCCTTTTAGAAAGTCTTTAGTGTCATTGTTACTACATTTGAAATATAGCACTGATCATAGTGCGGTCTAAAACATCACAATATTACTTACTGTCAAATTGTAAAAAAAAAATTTCTTTACAGCTTTATTAGTTTAAAATAATAAATCATAGTGGAGTCTAAAGACACCACAAACTTGCTGTCAGATTGTAGAAAAAAATTTTTTTACAGCTTTTATTAACTTAAACTAATAATAATAAATAATGATAATAAATAATACTAATAATAAATAATCATAATAATAATACGTAATAATAAATAATAATAATAATAATAATAATAATAATAATAATAAATAATAATAATAATAATTAATAATAATAATAAATAATAATAATAATCAATCATAATAATAATAAAAAATAATAAATAATTTAGGGAATGCCTATTTCCACCATAGAAAGTTATTATTCCAGCCATATTTTCTATATTTTCATGGTACATTATGACCAATGATAGGAATAAAATTTTCATAGTCAATAATATATATTTTGATTTTAATAAAAGATGATCTACATCTTGGCAACTTGATATATTTTTTGGATATCGGATAAAGCCGGCACATCACGAAATTATCCGATTATCCGATTTTTAATCAAACCTGATTAATATTAGGGTTAAGGTTAGATTTGAGATCGTGGGGATGTGTAATATTTATTAAACCCGCATTTCCGACACCTTTACTTAGTGCATGAAGACCAGTTTAGACAGTTGTTTATATTTTTCGTGGTTTTGTCTTTGTCATTTCGATACCCAGTGAGTTCGTGATGCATCAGGCTTTAGCCGATCCCATTTTGGCGTAATTGTCAAAACATACTACTCAAACTCCGGAAAATAGGCGATTTTTTTTTATCGGTAGTGATTATGTTGCATATGGAGTAACTGCTTTACCTTATCTGAAGTAAATAGACATCTGATGCAGCACCTGACTGAAATTAAGTCATAAAAATTAGTTCTACTTCCCTAAAAGCAGCTAGTTACTGCGACAATATCCACAGATTTAATGTTATTAAAAAGAATATTCCTTCTATTCTTTATTTGACGTTTATGTTTAATAAATGACTAAATACAGTTAAATTCATACTGTAAGTTTAATTTCCGAAGATTGTTCCAGAATCCCTTGTGTTTATTATTGAAATAATATAGTTACTTAAATAGGTTGTTATGATGTTTACCGTGGCGCGTCCTTTTTTTGAAACAATCAATATACTACATTGTTTCTCATATTTTATTTAATTGACGCAAAATATGACTTTGATTAAAAATGCGTAGCTGCGATTTTTCTAGAATGTCAGATAATTGTCCTTGTATTTACTGTTATTGGTTTAAAAGTATAAGTAGATCTTCTAATACAATATTTGCTGCGATATATTGTCTTCGCTTTATAAAAGGCGTTGTTGCCTCAGCTTTTTCAAAAAAAAAAAAAAATTCATCAAAAATCCAAATAACAATAAAAAGGCTCTTATTTTTCCTTCCATATCGCATCCAACAATAAAAAATAAAAAATAAAAATAACAATAAAAAGGCTCTTATTTTTCCTTCCGTATCGCATCCAACATTGAAACCTAACCAAAATACCGAGCATTAAAATGACTATCCTAACAATTAAAGATGTCATCAAACTTTTAATTACACGAATTTGCACTCGAATGAACCTTAATGAAAGCGATAGTGAAGATATCATCAATCACATCTCAATTAATCTCTCCCCTCAACAAATTTCACATTTTACAGACTTAGCTGCCAAACTAAATGCTCGCAGGTTGCGAAATGATCACAATATAGAAGATGTTATGATTGACGGATGTAATTTTGATGATAATATTACTGCAATGGTAAAAGAATATCTTGATGCTAAACGAAGAAATGACGACCCATTTACCAAAGGCATCAATTTTTAATAATTTCGTATTTGCATAGACGTTTCACATAGATATATGTTGGGATCAATAGACGCTTTTGGACAAAAAAAAGTTTACCATAACAACTAGAGTATAACATAATTCAAAAATGTTTAATACTTAAATTTACACATAATTACTTATCTTTTTATGATTAGTTAAACTTTATAAAAGAGTAAACTTGCTTGGACATTCATGGATATTGAACATGGGAAAAAGGCCTTGAACATTAACAATATACAACACTGAATTTATAATCACGTGTATTAATATTTAGAGTAGGTTTTTTAGTATATGTAAAACATTTTTATTACATACCAATTAATCATCATAATTATATCGTTATGAAAAAAAACAGAAAAAAAAACAAGAAAGATAAAATAATATAAGAGAAAAAATAAACCAAAAAAAATATAAAAAGAAAACCAAGAAAAACACATATATATATATATATTGTAAATTTTAGAGATATTATCCTATTTGTCAAAACTTAGTTCGTCCGTCCCTGTTCGAAACACGAATAGTTAAACAAGTTTTTTTTAATAATATTAATTATGTAAAATAAAACACAACGTGCTCGAATTGAGTTTGAAATCAATTTTTGAGAATAACTTTTTAATTAAATAAAAATGATTTTTCAACAAGTCTGTTGCTTTCAGAAAGTGTTTCATAATTTATTTATATTTGATGTATCTTGATATTTGTAAAAAATAAAAAAAAGTTGAAATGAGCTTCAATTTGTTGTCCTGTTTCGTAAAGAATGAACAAAAAAGCGAACAAAGACATGTTACAGACGCATTTAAAGCTGTTTGTAACCAGGTGCACACTATTATTCTGTAGGAAATCGCACGATTTCCTAATTTTTCTATCCTACGAATAAGGGAAATCAATGCGACTCAAGGGGAAATTAGGGAAATCTTGTAGATTTCTCATTAATATAATGGTGCACACTGTTACATAAATGTGTATAACCAGTTTAGAATATAGCTTGAAATTCAGTTTATATTTGTGCTTCAGAATAGTTCTCGAGCGGATTCAAAGCACGAAATAATCGGGTTAAGCAAGATAACATATCAAGTGAATTTGGTTCGTTAATACTTGATGATTCTGATTACAAATTGTCCATGTAATTTTTCCGATACCGATGTGGATGTCGTAGTCCTTTTTTTGTTTAACAAGTTAGATAATGGAGTAACTTCAATGGTGTAATTAATTCTGCTTTTGAAGAACTATGATAAGTCAATAAAGTTATGTCCAACTATGTAATTTAGACTAATGTTCCGCAAACGGGTACCCGAATTGGAACTGCAGGGGATTTTAACATTCCGTTAAATAATTGGATAATAATTTTATCTCATTTTATCATTACCAAATTGCTTGACGGCGGAATGTTAAACATCCCTCACGGTTCCAATTCGGGTACCCGTTTGCGGAACGCTAATTTAGATGATGTGTATTTTAAATTTATTAAATTGTCAGAATGGGTTTGCTGGTATAATTAGAATAATAAATCTAGAATGTCTTCACTGCAGTAGTTTTTCTTTTTTTTTAGGGTTGGACGTATATACATACCTGATGCGTAATACATACAATTAAACAGTGATATCCAAGCTAACAAAGATATTTCTGAACGAGTTTCCAAATATAGGCTGTAGTGACATTAAACATTAATCCATTTATCCATTTTTGGTAGAGAAGGCATTAATTGGAAATTTGATGGGCGGTTAAACTTAAATACTTAAATGAATGTTACAAATCTGGATTCATTTAAGCATATCTATACTCCATAAATAGACCAATTTTAAAACATTTTAAATAAAGTATGCTCTATTATTCCGTGAGGCTATCAATCTTTATAAAAGATTTTGTTCTGATTGATGGAAGTGAAAAGTAGAATTCTGATATAGAAGTCTGGAAATGTAAAGTAGAATTCTGAGATAGAAGTCTGGAAATGTAAAGTAGAATCCTGAGATATAAGTCTGGAAATGCAAAGTAGAATTCTGGTATAGAAGTCTGGAAAAAAATGTAAAGTAGAATTCTGAGATAGAAGTCTGGAAATGTAAAGTAGAATTCTAAGATAGAAGTCTGGAAATGCAAAGTAGAATTCTGATATAAGTCTGGGTGTGTAAGGTAGAATTCTAATATAGAAGTCTGTATTAGAAAGTAAAAAAATGCCAAGATTTTATCTTTGTTAACAAATTAATTAATCAACTAGACTTATTTTCCACTCCGAGAAATAACATGCTACGCACCAAAAATCTAATCAAGTGCAAAGTGTAATACTAATTACAGAGACCTTTCTAAATTTGAATTACAGTAAAATGTGTACTTTGTCATAGATATAAAGCTCTTATAACTCGAGCTATATTGTGCATTTACCTAATGCATATATTATAATGATGATTGTATATGAAAAATTTTTGCTGTACCTCTTATACCCTTATAGAAACAACTAATACTTGCGTACGCATTAAGTATGTTTCTTTACTACTCATAAGTAGTAGTAAAAAATTTTCTAATATTTAAATCCCGTAATTAATGAATGTATGAAGTCTTTTTGAACCAATTTAAAAAAAAATGGAAATAATACATTCATGTTAAAATGTAATCTGATAAAGTTTTTTTTATTTTTTAGGGAGCATTAATTGACAACGACATTGTTTCAACAATCTTTCAAGTTTAAAGTTGTACCATTCAGCTTAAATGTTTAATACTGTGACCGTTCTATTTTCATATGTAGAATTGTCAACAACAGAAGTCAGAAGCAAAAATTTACTCGTATGTATAGTTGGTGGTAGAATTACTGAATTACGGCATTACGGCATTCTACCATATGGTAGAATTAATTACGGCATAGTGTTGGGTTCGGAAGTTTGCGACTCTGTCGCTCCAAAATCCTATACCTCGTGTAACGTACGATAAGTAACCTTTTCGAAAGAGGGTGTTAGATTTGGCTTGTGGGCGAGAAAGGCTTTCGGTTACTTT